CAACGACAACAAAAAATCCTCCCAAAGTTTTTTTCAGTTTAGTGGCCTAGTTTTTGAAAAGAAAAATTTGTCGTTGCTGCTGCTGCTCACATTCATTGTTGCCAGGATTAATTAACTTGTGGTAGAAAACAACAACACCAACAACTTGGGAAATTGTTGTAATTTCCGGTTGACATATTCTTCCGCAAAAGTTGCACCACACCATCGCCACAAACATGCATATTTTGCACACAAACACACACCGAAGAATGGAAGATATGAATAGAAAGGAAAAAAATGCAGTGAAGGAGAAATGCCGAGTGGAAAAGTTCTGCTGCTATTCAACAACAGCAAAGAGTTTTTTAAAAAAAATATGAAAAACTTTTATGGGAAATAAGAGCAAGTTTGTTTTTGTTGACTTCTTGGGCAATGACTATGGCGGCAATGAAGACGATGACGACAACGACATTTATTCTACTTGTTGTTTCTTCAAACTTGTGTGTTACACTTAAGAAAATGGCTTATTGGTGTTGTTTCTGGTAACTCTTTATCATGAAAAGTGTGGTGGAAACAAAAACAAACAATAACAAAAAACATAAAATTTCATTTATGCAAACACATTTTAATATAAATTTCCTATGGCTGTCTGTCCACCATTTTGTTAAAACTTTAATAAAAAATTATCAAATCATAGTTGAGGGTGGTTATCCTTAAATGTATCCTTGGGGGTTTCTAACTACCTTTTATACTCTATTAAGATGTTATTTCTCAATTAGTTTGGTCACACACACACACACAAATTTTTAGAATTAAATAACATTATGTTGCCATTTTCCTTTAACTCCTTCCCTACCTTCCTCGCTCTAAAACATTTAATTAAACTGTCATATTTGTCTTTGCCACATTTGTGTTGGGACGATTTTCTTCTGAAAAAAGGGCTCCAGTAACATATGTTGTGTATATATTCCATTCAATTCCAGTTATTCTTCAATCCTTTTTCTCAATTAGTATACTTTCCCTTCACCGCTCCCCCAATGCCTTTTAAAATCATATTGTCATGCTTTACTGAACACATTTTTCGAATATGAGCTAGAGAGGGTCATTACATTGGCCTAGAAAGCCATTTTCTTGTAGACAAATAACACAGCAGCACATTTCATCTTCGTAGAATTTATTTTGTTGTTTTTGTTTTATTTTTTAATATGAATTCTAAATGTATGCTAAATATTTGATAAGTCCATATGTTTGTTGTTTAAAAATACAAACGACGCCGATGACAAGTATGACGACGACTTGTTTTCGTTGGCTGGCTGTATGTGATGGACCGGACCCCGACTTTCATTTTTCAAATTTTAATGATGTCTCATTCATCTTATTTTTCTTTTTTATTCTATTTCCATTCCTCTCCCTTCCTCATCATCATCAGCTGTTGTCCTTGGATAAGTCGTTTTCCTTCGTAAAACGTATAATGACCACTTTTTATGTATGGCATATGTGTGTGGTTCATTCTATGTTTCAACTTCTCTGCGTCCTTTGAATCCATTTTATTGTTGTTGTTTGGCTGTTCGTTTTCGGCTAAGTATGTCTTGATGGCCATATCAAATGGGACATTTTGTGGATTGTTGTATATATTTTTTATATTTTATTTTAAACAAAAATGAGCTCATTAGGTAGGTCAGAACGCTGGGTAGAATATGTCGGCATTTTGGAAAATACATGTAGTTAATGGTATTTTCTAAAATTGAAAATACTACATTGCAAGCACACATACAAGTATATGGGAATTTTGTGTAATATTTTTTAATATTTTTAAACACACATATTATTTTTTAAATATTTTTTAAACACACATTTTTATACCCTCCACCATAGTATGGAGGGTATATTAATTTTGTTTTTCCGTTTGTAACTCATCTAATTAATCATTTCCGACCCAATAAAGTATATATATATATATATTCCTGATCAGCGTAAAATATATAAATACATGACGATATAGCCATGTCCGTCTGTCTGTTGTAATCACTCTAGCGTCTAAACGAATGGTGATAGATCGCCAAAATTGTGCATAGAGTCGTCTTTTGGGGTCCATATTTTCGGATAGCTCCCATATAAGGGTACCCCCAATTTTGCGGTATTTTGGGGGTTTGATCGCTTTTTTCGACCGAATTCGCTGAAGTTCGGTACTTTGAGTTCTTATTGGGTAGCAAATCTCTATACTAAAAATTATAAATTTTTCATTTTTTTCGGGTAGCCCCCATATAAGGGTACCCCCCAATTTTCGCTATTTTGGGGTTCTTGAGCGCGTTTTTCAACCGAATTCGCAGAAATTTGGTACATTGGGTTCTTATTGGATACCAAATTTTCCCACTAAAAATTATAAATATAAGTCCACTTTCTCTGGTAGCCCCCATACAAGGGTACGTCCCATTTTCCAGTTTTTGGGGGGTTTTGACCGGATTTTTTTCACCGAATTGCCTGTAATGTAGTAATTTCAGTTATTATTGGGTAGCAAATCTCTCCACAACAAATTATAAATATAGCTAAATTTTTTCGGGTAGCCCCCATATAAGGGTACCCCCAATTTTCGATATTTTAAGATTCTTGAGCGCGTTTAACCGAATTCGCTGAAATTTGGTATTTTGTAGTCGTATATGGTAACAAATCTCCCCACCAAAAATATTAATATTCACCTCTTTTTAGGGGTAGTCCTCATATAACTCCCATTTTTATATTAAAATATTTATCTGATTTGTGCCGTGTGTTTGGGTTGGGTAGTTGTTGCGGGGAATAGTCAATTTTTACCCTACAAAGACTATTTAGCCATCTGTTGTAAACATTCCGCCTTCTAAGTATATTGTGATAAAAGAAACCTCAAACATGATGATAATGAAATATATCGGCAGACATTTTTGCATCTCCTCAATATAGTGATACCTCCTGAAGGAAAGAATTGAGATAAACAATTAAAATATTGGCATATACCGGTCATTAATTAGGCATAGCCCTCATATAATGATATCCCCAAATATTCAGTATTTCCTACACTATGTAATCAATATTGATCCCCCTTTAGGCATAGCCTCATATAACTTTGTAATTTAAATTACAGTAGTTTGAGGATTTTATACTCTACCATGCTTTATCAGTATCAGTCCACTTTTTGGATCTTACAGATTTTAGGAATAATCCCCATTAAAATTGCTGAAGTTTGTATTTGATGTACATAATGGTTTACATAAATCGGTTTGTAGAATTATTGGTATATGCCCACTTTTTGGTATGTTCCCCATATTTTCATTGCATGTATCTGTCCGTATAACTATGGTGGAGGGTATCCAAATTTCGGCCCGGCCGAACTTAACGCCTTTTCACTTGTTTTGTAAATTGTTTCAAAAGCATAAAAAATACATTTTTTTTTTTGAAATTAAAAAAAAATGTTTCCATTCTTATTTATAATATCTGATTTATCTAATATCACTAATTTATCTAACAGACCCACAGGTCTTCACTAAGACCTTTACCAGTTCTAGATTTATTTCATTTGTTCCTTAGCTATTCATCTATACCAAGAATAGCTGTCAGGACTTTATTGAATCAAGTGACTTCTTTAGTTTTCCCCTTTTAACTAAAAGTTTCATTGATTGTTTTCTTTCAAAATTTCCATCATGATACTTTTATTATTACTTCTATACTGCCTGCATACTTTTAGGGGCATTTTTATACATACCTTTAATACCACATGCCACATGAAATTCCTGAATTTATTTCCTTTTTTCCCCTAATTCTCCAAGAAAATATTTACTTTTTCTTTCCATCAAAATTTCTATTACATTATTTTAATTATTACCTTCATGCTGGCTGCATACTCTTAGGGGCATGCGTTTAATAACACCTTTAATATCAAATGCCAAATTAAAAATGCTGACATATAAATTCATTATTTTCTAACGAAATATTTTATATATCTGTTTCTCTCAAGTTTTTTCCACGATATTCTAATTAATACCTCTATACTATCTGCATACTTTTAGGGGAATTTTGTTTAGGCATACCTTTAACATTACATGTCACATGGAAATCCATACAAATAAATTTCGTTTTCCTTCCCTTATCGAAAGAAAATTGATTTTCATTGCCTTATTTCAACGCTTATCTTTCGGAACTGCCCCCTGACAAAAAAAAAATCTGTAATATTAATAAAACTTTGTCTATCGTCTAACCAAAACAAAAAACCCCTATTGATTGCCATTATTAGTAGGTGTTAACCGAACTCTTCTGACATATGTTTGAAGTTTGTTTTTACCTTCAAACACACACGCACACACTCAAACACCCACCAACAATTTATTAAGGCAACTCAACTATTGTTTTTTTTTTCTTCTTCATACCTTTCAATCAACACCTCACCACCTTGTAGTAGTTGGTCTTTTTTTTCTTGGCCAGACTATGAGCGTTGTTGTTTTGGGGGGCGTTATTATGCTTATCACGAAACAATTGTTTCTTGTGTTAACACTTAACCACGAAAAAAGAATATATAATACACTTATTTACTACATAACTTAGATTAGACGTTATTTCCCCATTTTTAATAGAAAACAATGGGCGTTTAGTTTTTTATTTTTTGTTTCTCCTTCCCTTCGCTCTCACCCAACGGAAGGGGAATCAACATAACTTCCGAAATGTAATTGTTATTCTAATTAGAGTCGGCAGCAGGAACCCAGTCGACCAACCAACCATATTCACCCACACAACTAGTTGCTATACTTACGCATTAACTACTTGTTGTGTGTTGTGTACTTAACTGCGCCTGAAAGTAGGCAACAGTTTTATTGTTTTGTATATTCCCTTTATTTTGGTTGGTGTGGGTTTCATTGTTTTCGTTTATTTTTTTGGGATTGTTTAACATTACAAATCTGTTCTTAATTTTATTTACTGTAAAATTTTTGATTTCGTTTAGAGACTTCGTGAAAAACAAATATTTATAATTCTCCTTTTCTTCTTCCCTTTATCTTTTTCAGCGTGGTAGTGACGAACTTTTAAGTCAAGCAGCAGTTATGGCGCCCGCTTCGGACAATAATAATCAGGATTTAGCCACAAAGAAAGCCAAATTGGAGCCAAGCACTGTACTTGGTGGAGTTGGTAAGTGTTTTTTTTTACAATATTTCCCCTAGCCCTCCCCTTTATAAAATCCCTCGGCAATCCATTCATAATTTTGAATGAATTCCATTTTGCTATGTCTGTCTTAACCGGCCAACATTCATTGTTGGACGGTCTCTCGTTCATTCATTCGTTTGCTCGTTCCCTTCTCTTGAGTCGAGTCGACTTGTTATATCAGAGTTGCTGTTGTTGTTGTTGTTTGTATTTTCTTTCTAGGATTTGCTCACTAACTAAACACTTAAAAGCAATTAAGGACGGTTTATGATCTTTTATTATTTACATTTTCGCTTAAGTAGCTTCAAATCAAAAACACAGTAACAACAACAACGAAACTAATACCAACAATAAACAACAACAACAAATTACCATAGAGAAAGGGATTTATGTTGTTTAAGGGTTGGCTAAGGTAGGTTGGCCAGCTAGGTAGTTTGGATTAAAACTGTTGCAACTACTTGACGCAAAAGCTTTTTGTGTAATAATTCCAAGAAAAATAAAAATAGAGCAGGACATGACAACATTGGAAAAGGAAGGGCTGATACCTGGTCATAATCGTTAGCACAGAGTATTGGAATTGTATATAAGAAGGCAAATATATATACATATTTTTTAGGGTAGATTACAATAAGCCAAGGGAAGTGAAAATATAATGGTCGTCAATAAGTGGCTATTTTTATAGAAAAAGTTAGAGAGGTAATTAGAGGGCATTATGCATGCCCTGAATGGAGTAGGGGATTATGGGGATCATAGAAAAGGAAATAAAAAAAATCAATGGGCTGTTGAATATTTTTTTAATCGCCCCGATCATTATTCTTCTAAAGAAAAAATTAAATTACAATCGATAGATGATACTAAAAATTACTTGAAAGCTAATTAAAACAAAAATATCGATATAAAACCTCGCAAAAATTATAAATTTTTATATCAATACTAATTATGTACAAATACAAACAGATATTACAATCAATAATATAACAAAACCAGTGTGCGGAGCAGTATAGTCGGGGCCGACCATATGATACCCTACCCAACTACCACGGAACGCTAACTCTCTGCGGATGTTTATTCCTAGGAAATATTTCGTGATATTTGCACCCTCTTGCTCGATTAGAGGTCAACAGCGTCTCTTCATTGCACTGACATATTTTCCGAATATTACCAATATTCAGTACATTCCTTCTAATTAGGTACTTGTCCAAATTCCCCTCACCGTGGGTTGTGTTGTAATGTTTCTCTTATTACTATGGCCTATAGATCGACTCAAAAAAAAAAAAAAAAACACAAAAAATCCGGTCCACTTCATCCCAAAATTATTAAATTTTGCACACAAAAGTCAGGGTCCATTTGACCCTCTAAATATTGACCACTCTTTGTCAAAACACGCATGCAAAAATTCGCGATGTTTGGGCCATAATTGAGGCCTCTGGACCTACCAGAAAAACTGACAAAAATTAAGCATTTGGTCCATTTCATCCCCTAAATATTAACCAATATGTTCCAAAACAATAGGGATCTTCATTGGGCATTATCATTATCGATAACTCTTAAAAAATATTTTTATAAATAATATTTTCTCATTTATCAATAACAGTTTTTAATAAACATTATTTAATTACTTTTTTTTATAGAAATTTTTATGAATATTCTGTTATCGATAATATGTTTTTACGAATATAATATTACCAATAAAAATTTTTCTACGAAAATGTTATCGATAATGTTTTATAAATGTTTGTATGATAATATTATTGCCAAAAAATATTTCCTTAGGATAAACTCATTATCGATAGTAAAGGAAAAGAATATGTTATCGACATTTGTTATCGAACATTGTTCAAAAACAGAAAACAAGTGTTGAAGACATTTTGTACAGAATTGTATGTTATCGAAATTATTTTATATAAAAAAATTATTATCGAATACATTTTAACGGTAAAATTTTTTATCGCTCATATTTTGTTATACAAAAGTATAGAAGTGTTTTTATTGAACTTATCGATAATTTTTTCAAAAATTATTATTTTGCTACCGATAAGTTTGTTATCGATATATATTTCTATCGATATATTTGTTATCGAACTTTTTTCTATAGATTATTTTCTTGTCAAACTCATTTTCAATTGAAACTATATGTTATCGAAATTATTTTCTCATTATCGATAGCAAAGAAAAAAAATATGTTATCGAAATTTGTTATCGAACATTGTTCAAAAAAATGTGTTGAAGACATTTTGTACAGAATTGTGTGTTATCGAAATTATTTTATATAAAAAAAGTTTTATTATCGAATACATTTTAACGGTAAAATTTGTTATCGATCATAATTTTTTATACAAAACTATTGAAGTGTTTTTATTGTACTTATCGATATTTTTTTAAAGAATTATTATTTTGCTACCGATAAGTTTGTTATCGTAATATTTTTCTATCGATATATTTGTTATCGAACTTTTTTTTATAGATTATTTTGCTATCAAACTCATTTTCAATTGAAACTGCATGTTATGGAATGTATTTTCTTCAAAAAATCGGCGTTATCGATAACATTTCCCACAGAAAATGTGGGGTATCGAAACTATTTGTAATAGAAAATAAATTGTCCGATGATTTTCTATGGAAAAGTGTTTAATGTCCCATATTTTCTATAGATATGGAACACATTTTCCGAAGAAGTGTTTTGTTCTCCGCCACATTTTCTATAGAAAAGTGTATTCGCGAACACATCTCTTATAGCGATTTTTTTTGCTTTGGGGTATTTTTAGAAAATTTTCTGATTTTCTCTTGTCAGACCACCTGGTCCCCTTTTGGACTTCTCCTTCATGATTATCTGGGTTTATCATAGAAGGCTTGGTGCTCTCTACATAAAAGAAATTTATTCTCTTTGAAGAATTTCTGATGTTCTCTTGAAGACATACTTGCCTACTCGTAGAAATATATGTGAGCAGACCTTTAAAAAACGACTTTCTAGTCTCCTCCTTGAAAACCTCCTGGTTTATATGTCTGTATGTATTATCGAATTCAAATCGTTCTGAAAATTATGTTCTCCAAAAAGTGTGTTATCGGAACCAAAAAAAAATTTTTAAGACTTTCTTGTTTCCCCTAAATGACCATAAGGTCTCATCATGGAAATTCTCCTTCTCCCAGAACGTTATCTGGTTTCATCTTAAAAATCTTCTTAGAATAACTTTTTTCTCATAGAAGACGTTCTGATGTTCGCTTGAAGGCATTCTTGGCTCCTCTAGAAGTATCTAAACAAGGTTTCTTTTTAAAAAGTCTTTCTAATCTCTTGTATGAAAACCTCCTAGTCTGCTCATAGGGTAACCAAACAAATAGCTTGCCTCGCCAGTTACCTTTCGACATATATGTGCAACATGTGGGACAAGAGTTTTTTATCACATCGCTAAAAAAATGCACAAAAAGTATCGAAAAAAACTCACACAAAAACCAATACACCAAACTACTAGTCCGATAGATAGACAGACAGACAGATAATGGCTGGCAGCCAAATAAAACGCACCTTTGAAATACACATTGCAACAGGAGAATAAAACGTGAGGCAACAACAATAACACCAACTACAAAAGCAGCAGGATAGCGTAGCGTATTCAAACCAATGTTATAATGGCAAAAAGGGAACTTGAGAGCAACAGGACAACGATTCATCGTTAGTTAGTAATGGTAGTTACTGCTCTGGTTAGTTCGAACAAAACCGATGGGGCCACCAGTAGTAACAAAATGAATGGATGGATGAGAGCGCGAGGTATAAGTGTTTGCATGGGAAAATATGTGTGTGTGTGTGTTTGGGTGAGTGTTTCGGTGGCATTGTGTATTGGCACACAAAGCATAGGTTTGTTGCTTTTTAATTAATAGAAAAGTCCTTTGTAAAGTAATAAATAAATATTATGTTTTTGTGTGGTTGCAAAAATACCAGAACTGAACGAACCGGACCGACTAACCATCGGACAATTCCCATGTAGAGGTTCAGACAAACGCACACACACACACACAAATATTGAGAGCTGTGCTTGTTGAACAGGGAATAGAAAATGTTTTTCACATATGGAAATATATTGTGTTTGTGTAGTGGTGCGAGTATATATATGGGTGTTTAAGTCCTTTTTAATCCGTAAAGGAGATGTATTGTTGTTACCAAATAGACAAAACCTGGTCGAACATATGAAAAGCTGAACAATTTTTTTTTTTTTTTGTTGCTGTGTGCTTGTTTTTGTTTCAATATTTTTAGAAGCTCAAAAATGGAATTTGTATATGACCAGGCAGGCAGGCATCCCAGGCAAAACAACAAAAACCATTACAATAAAAATTCCAAAACCAAAAACAAAACAAAGCCATAACAAATAGGCATTGTCATCCTATTGTTATTTGGATCCAAAGCGCGTTGAAAAAACAACTACAAATAAATAAGCCACAATACAAATTATGAATGAATAATGAATTACAACATACCAAATTAACTGGAAATTAGATAGACAATAAATATTTTTGGTGTGTTCATTTTTTGGGGTTAAATTCCGCACCTGTCTTTGGATCCTACTTTGGATTTGTGCAGGATAGCCACACAGTTATGGTAATACATATATTTTTGGTAGAATATGAAAATGAAACCCCTCGTGTGTGTGTGTGTGTGTAAATTATAATGAATGAATGAATATTTGTGGCTTCCAACCATTGTTTTTAATATGAATCACCATATGTGGTACTACCCAGGGACAAACAAAAGGCCACCATGGTGGCTATGGATGGAGAATACACGCGGTTTATATATTTTTGTTGTTATCGGTATACAAAAATATTTCCTATATGGACAGGACATTTTTTTCTTCTCTTTCAATAATATTTATTGATTGGATGAACGCACACACACACACACCAAAAATATTTCAGGTGCACAAAAGTATGCTTTAGTGTGTGTGTGTGCGGTTAGACAATGCAATAAAATCCACTAGTTTGGGTTTTATGCGGTCCAG